CGCAGCCCCGCTCCCTTCCCCCAGCTGCAGCTGCAGCAGTCCGGGCTGCCCTCGCGCTGCGCGGATTTTGCATCTGGTTATTATTTGCAATTCCCCTTTCTTCCTCCCCGCCGCCCCCCGCACCCGCCCGCCTGGCTGCTGCGTGCCCGCTGCGCCCCGAGCCGCCCCCCTTGCAGGCGTTTTGTGCGCGGCGCCCGGCTGCAGGGCTCGGCCGCTGGGTGGTTTTTTTTTGTTGCATGCAGGGAACCGCTTGCAGGCTTTGACACACGCTTGTGAGGGCAGGCAGGGCGGTGTGGCATGCCTGTCGCTGCGCGCGGCTTTGTTGCACGCCTGCCTGGATTCACACCCCCCCATGCCTATTTATCTTCTCTCTTTGCCTCTGCAGGGGCGCATGGAGTATCTGGTGAAATGGAAGGGCTGGTCTCAGAAGTAAGTAGGTGCCGTGTAGGATTTGTGCATAGGCTGGAGGGGATGGATGAGTGTTCTGCCTTTCGCGTTGTAAGAGGAAGGAAAGTTGGGCCCCGGGTCTTTATTCCTTCCCTTTTCTCTTAACGGCAACCGGCGCCTTTGCTCTGTCCCTGCTAGGTACAGCACCTGGGAGCCCGAGGAGAACATCCTGGACGCCCGGCTGCTTGCAGCCTTTGAGGAAAGGTAGGAGCCCCTTGCTTGCCGCGTGCCCGTCGCACGTAGAAACGTAGCTGTGTGCTGAACCAAAGCTCTGTTTATTTTTGACACCTCTAGGGAGCGAGAAATGGAGCTCTACGGGCCCAAAAAGCGAGGCCCCAAACCCAAAACCTTCTTGTTGAAGGTAAGAAGGCGGGAGCCCGGCATGTGTGTGTTGATGCTGCTTGGCTGGGGAGTGGAGAGGGCTGCATGCTGCAGCCGGGAGCATGAAAAGGCAGCATGCTAATAGCAGGGTCCCTCTCCAGCTCGGGCATAGGCAGCCGCTCGTCTTGCAAGTTGTAATTATGCAGCCGGATGGCGGGATGAGAAAGTCACCGGTTGATTTATTTTCTTTGCAGGCCCAGGCAAAAGCAAAAGCCAAAACCTACGAATTTCGCAGCGACTCTGCCAGGGGGATCCGGGTGCCGTATCCTGGCCGGTCCCCCCAGGAGCTGGCCTCCACCTCCCGGGCTAGGGAAGGACTGAGAAACATAGGCCTGCCTCCCCAGAGCACAAGTACCAGCACCAGCACCGGTACCAGTACCAGCACCCCCAAGATGGAGTGCATCCGGGACCGAGTGGTTAGAGTAGAAGAGAAACCTGGCGAGACCCCCAAAAAGAGAGGCCCGAAGCCGAGGAAAGAGCTTTATCCAGTGGAGAGCCTGGATCCCACCAAGCGGAAATCCGGGGAGCCAGGGGACAAGGTGGGAGACTACCTCAAAGCCAGGAAAATGGAGGAGGCCGTTCCCGGAGCAGCCAAGTTCGGGTCGGGACACAGCGTGATACAGCTAGCCAGGAGGCAGGAGCCCGAGCTGTCCGGCACCATGGCCAGCCCCGGCCGAGCCGAGGTCGGGATGAAGCTTGGAGCCTCCGAGATGTACCCTCCCCGGGTCGCCAAGCATAGGGCAGACTTTCTGGACCCCAAGGGGCAAGGCGGGTTGGACCCCGGCGGGCCAAAGATCCTGCACGGCTCGGCCAACCAGAGCTCTGTGGGCAGCTTGTACCGAGACAGTGTGGGGGCCCAAGCTGGCCGGCCGTCCCTCATCGCGAGGATCCCCGTGTCCAGAATTCTGGGGGACCCCGAAGAGGAGACCTGGAGCCCTTCTCTCAACAACCTGGAGAAGGTGGTGGTGACTGATGTGACCTCGAACTTTTTAACCGTCACGATAAAGGAGAGCAGTACGGACCAAGGATTCTTTAAGGAAAAGCGATGACTCTTCCCCGGCTTGTTCCAGGAAGACTGAAAGTTTGGGCAAAGCTTTGGTGGCTTTTTTCTTTTTTTCTTTTCTTTTTTCTTTTTTCCCCCCCGGACGTCCTCAATTCATTAACTCATTTTCTCTCTCCCTTTCTCTTCTTTCTTTTTTCTTTTTTTTTCCTTCCAGTTTTGTTTTGTTGGAAAGATTATCTCTAGAGTTATATTTTCTATTAGATGTAAATATGTTATTTAAGAAGAAATACCAATATATATATATATAAATATATAAATATCTATCTATATATATATATTTCAACTCTAAGTTGTTTTATTTAAATGGAGATGAACAGTGATTGCTCAGTTGCTTTTAGAAAGGACAATAAAACTGAGGACTCATGAGTTCATGCCTGTCTTGCAGGAGACAGTGTATATAATGAATGATGTTCATAGCTAATTATGTTTTTGGAGTTGGTTTTGTTTTTTTTTTTTAATTATGTGGGTTTTCTTTTTCCCATACAATGCTATGGATGGTGAATGGGGAAATGGGCCCAATGCCCTGATTCCTGGATTGTGATATAAGGTGTTGCTTGTACAATCAAGTGTGCTGTATCCAGAACTGTCGCCCTAGGCAGTTGAAGTAAGCACTTGAACTTACAGTATTGTCGGGTTTTTTTTGTTTGTTTGTTTCATTTTTCCTATTAAAAAAAAAAAAATAAGTCAGGAAAAAAAAAGCAGAAGTCCATTAAAAAGCTAAAAAAGTTGTTCTAGCAAAGACGTATTAACTTGAATGACCTTTTCTTGCAAACGAAGAGGAGGTGCGTGTGTTGGATGCCTGAAAGGAGTGATACTGAAATGCACTTTAATAGAATTGCCGTAGAAGTTATGGGAGACAGAACTGAGCTGAGAATCTGTTTTCATTTCGTCTGGTTGCTTGATACTTTCCCCCACCCACTTTAAAAAAAAAAAAAAAAAAAAAAGCTGTTTACATTCCTGAAATGCCAGAAAAGTTTGGGAGGAGAGCGTGTCACTGCCCATATTTAGATGCTCCTACTGGGATAGAAAGTGGGTTTTTTCCAGACCGCAGCTCCCTTTGGGCTGCCGGAAGACCCCGCAGCAGAGCTGTATCACAGACGCGTCTGTCTGACGAGTCCCAGCGTCACCTTACAGGTCCGGAAAAAATCCTTCCCCCTCCCTTATGCCACTTGCAGCAGAACGGAGGAGCCGGTTCTTGCCGCGTGCCCGTGTACCTTGTCGGTGTGGGCCTTTGTCGTGGGCGTAGGCAGGAGCGTGGTGCGGGTTTCACGGCCTGAGCAAAACGCCCCGGCTTCCTTCTGCTGGGGCAGGCCGGGGCCTTCTGCTCCCTTGCCGCAAGCCTGCCCCAGAGGAGGATGCTGGGAGCGGTGGTGTTTTGCCTTTGCTAGCGGGGGGAGCTGGGTTGCGGGAGAGCAGGTGCTCGGTGTTGATGGAAGCGTCTCGGTTGATTCTAAAGCACAAATCTGTCCGGCAGCCCCCAGGGCCGGGGCGGGAGAGAGGCCTTTTCCGTCTCCCTTGGTAGGCCCGGGGAGGCCCTGAAACGCTTTCCAAGTGAGGGGCTGCACAGAAGATGAAAGCACAGGGGCGCAGTGGGAAGCAGGGGGGTGCAGAGCAACTCAGCCGGGTGTTTTTTTTCCTCTGGCCTCCTCCGCCCCCTGCCCCTTCCAGCAGCTGGGGCTTTTTCCCCTCCTCGGAGAAAACGAACTGGAGGACTCTGGTTTTGTCTGTACAGAGGGACCCGCTCAGGCGGTTTGGGTTTGTTTGGGGTTTTCTTTTCCTTTTTCTTTTCTTTGAAAACATTCTATTTTGTATAATCGAGATTTTTAAGAAAACCGTGTTTGTACAAAGAAGTGAAGCGCGCCGCCAGCCGCGTGGCGGCTGCGCCGGCACAGGACATGTATGTTGCCACATGTATGCTAACGAGGCATGTTGCTGCCCTTCCTCCACCCTTCATCCCACCGACACCTCCCCGGTTC